ACACACACACACACACACACACACACACACACCACACACACACACACCAACATACACACACACACACACACACACACACACATATATACATATATTATATATATATATATATATATATATATAATATATATATATATATATATATATATATAATATATACTTCGGATCGGAGAATGCGGGCTTGACCAATGATGACCTTCGCAAGCTGTTTGAAGTAGGCCTACCCGACCCGTGAGTAGGCCTATCCGCCATAATCTCATGAACCAATTTGGCTCTTGCAGATCCCATTAACAGCCCTCGTGATTCCCTGCTCTTTGCGCTAAACCAGAAAAACAAGCAAATAAACAAATAAATAAACCGGCAAATAAAAATAAATAACATCCAAATAAACAAACAAATAAACTGGCAATCAAACAAAAAGGAAGACAACAAACAAATAAACAAACAAAAACAAACAGATACTAATATTCCAATTTTATGAATAAAAGTCTATTGCAACTGATCTTATTTATGCATTTTGCCTACTAATTCTTACCGTAATAGATAGATAATGATAGATAATGATAATAGATAGATAGATAGATCATGATAGATAGATAATAATAGATAGATAATATGATAATGATAGATAGATGATACAATAGATAGATAATGATAGATAATGATAATAGATAGATAGATAATGATAATAGATAGATAGATAATGATAGATAGATAATGATAGATAGATAATGATAAGATAGATAGATAGATAGATAGATAATGATAATAGATAGATAGATAGATAATAGATAGATAGATAGATAATGATAGATAGATAGATAATAGATAGATAGATAATGATAATAGATAGATAGATAATGATAATAGATAGATAGATAGATAGATAGATAGATAATGATGATAGATAGATAGATAATAGATAGATAATGATAATAGATAGATAGATAATGATAATAGATAGATAATGATAGATAGATAGAAGAAATCATTAAATATATATTTCATTAAAGATAGAATAAAAAAAACGTAATAGATAGATAATGATAGATAGACAGATAGTGATATGACACATATTTTGCTCTCATAAACAAGATAGATGGATAGATAGTGAAATGACATATTTTACTATCATAAACAAGAAAAATGGACAGAAAACTGATAGATGGATAGATAGTGACATATATTCTACTATCATAAGCAAGAAAAAAATAGATATATACATAGATAGTGACATATATTCTACTATCATAAACTAATGGATAGATAGATAATGACATATATTCTACTATCATAAACAAGATAGATGGATAGATAGATAGATAGTTACATATATTCTACTATCATAAGCAAGAAAATAGATAGATAGATAGATAGTGACATATATTCTACTATCATAAGCAAGAAAAAATAGATAGATAGATAGATAGTGACATATATTCTACTATCATAAGCAAGAAAATTGATAGATAGATAGTGACATATATTCTACTATCATAAACAAGATAGATGGATAGATAGATAGATAGTGAAATGACATATTTTACTATCATAAACAAGATAGATGGATAGATAGATAGATAGTGAAATGACATATATTCTACTATCATAAACAAGATAGATGGATAGATAGATAGATAATGACGCGTATATTCTAACTATCATAGACAAAGATATATGGATAGATAGATAGTGACATATTCTACTATCATAAGCAAGAAAAAAATAGATAGATAGATAGATAGTGACATATATTCTACTATCATAAACAAGATAGATGGATAGATAGATAGTGACATATATTCTACTATCAGAGGCAAGAAATTGATAGATAGATAGATAGTGACATATTTTCTTAACAAGAAAATGAAAAGATAATAGATAATGACATACATTCTATTATCATAAGCAAGAAATTAATAGATAGATAGATAAATGACATATATTCTACTATCATAAACAAGATAGATGGATAGATAGATAGTTACATATATTCTACTATCATAAACAAGAAAATTGATAGATAGATAGACAGTGACATATATTCTACCATCATAAGCAAGAAAATTGATAGATAGATAGATAGTGACAAATATTTCTACTATCATAAACAAGATAGACCGATTGATAGACAGTGATATGACTTAGGAATCTCGTATATCTTACGATCAAAAACCAAGTCACGAAATAAAAAAAAGGAATTTAGATTTAAAACCAAGTCACGAAAAAAAAAAAAAAAATAGATTTTTATCAAAAACTCGATCAGTATCTTGTGTGGCGGATTTGATTGGCTATTACATCTCTATTCCTGTTTTCGCTATGTGGCTTATAGGCCTAATTCAGATAAATGGTTTTGTGCAAAGGAAGATATTGTGGATATTGATGAGGATGGTGGAAATGGTGATGACGAAATAAGTGTGGTGATATGCTGGTATTGGTGATAGTCGTGTGGTGGTGATGTTATGATGGTGGTGGTGATGATGGTTATGATGGTGGTGGTGATGATGAAGATGGTGGTGATGATGGTATTGGTGATGGTGGTGGTGATGATGGTGGTGATGATGTTGATCTGATAATGATGATGATAATGATGGTGGTGGTGATGATGGTGATAGTGATGGTTATGATGGTAGTGGTGAT